TTATATTCAAAATCTGCGTTCTTCTTTGTGTATGGTGGAGCTTGGTTGGTCGCTACAAATGATAGTCGTTTTTTCCCTACAGTATTTTTCATTCACAGATGCTCTGATATTCTGCTCTTTCTTCCCACACTGCATTGCTTGGCAGTTCTCTTGACCTGGTCAGTACCCTGAGGGCTCTGACTGACTACAGGTTGCACAGGTGCGATCAGTGCATCTTTGTCACTGACCCTGTGTGACAGAGAAATAGCTTTCTGCTAATAATGAACCTCTGCAACAAGCAATGCAGGTGAAATTAGGCAGGTAATGAAGACTTTAAATCTTGTGTGTTTGTGCCTCCACACGTGTCCCCTAATGATCTCTTTGCCCCCGGCCGTTGCACTTTTCCCTTTGAGGAACTGTCCTGGCCTGTGTTTTAGTGCTGTTAATAGCTGAGCACTGGGGGGACTTTGTCATTTCCTACAACAGCACATTGCATGTCCTTTGATGGTTAGTGAAGATTAGGACTCGCCTTTGCTGCTTTGAAATACCACTCTCCTTTGAAGTCTCACCTTGCTTGGATTTGACTTGTAATGTCATCCCACATGCTTGTGGCTTGAAAACAGTCTTCTAATGTTGTGAAGTAATGTGTTGGATCAGCAAATGAAGGTCAGTAACGGACAGTACAAGTCCAGTTAAAAACTGGTACATTGTTGGTCGTCGTGGTAAGCTATGTTGTTTAAAAAAAAGAAGGCTTTGGTTTTTATTTTGGATTCAATTTGTCTTTTATATGTTGAGATATTATAATTAAAATGAATGCATCAAATACTCCTAAAAGAAAGAAGATAAAAACTAATCTGATCTACCTGCATGCTCACTCTGCCTGTGAATTCTTTGAGAAGATTATTCCAGAAGCTAAAACTAACATCTAGTTGCTCAAGAGGTCAGCAATGACAATGACACGCTGAGCTTCTCCCTCCAAAACTCTCTCTTGGACTTGTTCTACTCTATAAATGAGATAGTCCATGCTTACCAATGTACCAGTTTATTTACATTACATTACGGACATTACATCCAAAGAAATCTGGAATTTTTTTCAAGTTAACGCTTGTATCATTTAGTGGAATGTCTTCAGGGAAATGCAAGAAACACCTCAGCGTGAGTAAAGAACATGTGACCCGTCAACGTTTAGCTAACTTTATTTGTAGTTTTTACATAACATATAGTGGATAAACAAACAAGGAATAATCCTGACCAAGGATAAGGTAAATAAAACGTAATACATTATCTGTGAACATGACGTCTAGCTGAGTCCTATTCAAAAAGTTTGATGGCTGTTTAAAAATGAAGACAACTCCAATGAACCATCAGTCCCTTATGAGGTCATAAAATGCGTCTTTATAATTTATTACATTTAAGATGCAGAAATTATATACTTTTTTTTAAGGCAGAATATGAAGATGCATTAAAATGTATTTCATTGATAAGACATTTAAACAAACCAAAGTGTTGTTTGATCTGCTCCTTTAGCAATGTTGGCATATAAACGGTAAAAACACTGGCTGTGGTCTTTGTCTTTTTAAACATATTACATAGTCAACCAGGTTTTTTTGGGAGTGAAATCCCTCCATATATTCCCATAGCCCAAAATTGCCTTTGACCCTGGCTCTACGGCGGCCCTCAGCCATTCATAATGGAACCCTGAAGTTTCTTATGAATGACATTCTTCTGGACTTTCCTGCTCTTTTCTCTACCGTCCACTGCAGTGTGGAGAATAATACCCAAACATCCTTGATCTTTTCACACAAGGCGGCAGGCAGAGGATTTTCCCGCAGTAAGAGTCATTTAAGTGAGCCCTTTTGCCAGTGGTAGGGGTTTTGGGGTTGAAGATTGGAGGTGGGGGGTGTCACAGTCAGATAATGACATTCCTGAGACCCAGAGATGGACTCTAGAGCCCCGTGTAAGCTGCTCAGGTTGAACTGGAAATTTCTGACTATAGACTATGTACTGCAGTAAGCCCAGATATGGCTTGCCGAGAGACCTTAGAGGTGTGCTGATGAATGTGACGGTGGTCCCCAAAACTCTCACAAGTAGTGCTTCAAACTGAATATTGGATTTTAAGTCAGAAAGTGTCTTTAATTGGTTTTAATTACAAGTGCAATAATGCCTTTGATATTGTTATTCAGCTGCTTGTTTGAACTAAAACTCAGTCAGACTGCCAGACTTTTCGCTTGAGTGGAGTTTTTTCATAACCCTGTTTAGGTGTTCTTATCTTAAAATCTAATGGTTAATGTATGGCATTATTTAAAGCCTCTCAAGATGCTGACATTTTCCATGCAAAGGTTTCTTTTTTTCTGTCTCACTTTCTTTCCAGCCTTCCCATGTTTTTCGATTTAAATTCCCAATTTTTTGTTGGAAAAGCAGAATTCAGCTGAGGTGGCGTTACATGAAATTACAGCGAGCCCTAAAAGAAAAGGGTGTAAATCAGGTGTACAGTGTCTCTTCTTTCTATTGCTGATTTAACAGCAGTGATGATAACGAGGGATAAAGAGTATAACAGTTATCGGATTTAAAAATACTTCTTGCTTTGTAGTGTGAGCTAAACCGATAATGGCCTCTAATGCTTGATGGCTGGTATTGGGAGTAAATTTAGCTGAAGATAATTCCTTGATGAAAGTGACTGTCATCATTCACTTACTATCAGTGCTGTTTACATAAGCAACATTAAATCTCTGCTGGCTGACAGAGTTGCTTAAGATGCTCTGAATAAAAAGCTGCGTTAAACCACACAGGCTTAATATGAAACCAGCCGGGTCTCTTAATTATCAAGAATATTCTGTGATATTCGTTGATATTACTCAATTTAGAAACACAGGTTTTAAAGGTGGAACAAAAACACAGCAATCGGTCTAACAACGGATACTCTTTCATTGTCTTACCACACAGAAAGGATGGTGTTGACAGATAATTGGGCAGGGATATTATGGGACCTGTGGATTATTTGTGACCACAACATAGCTTGAAGCTGTCAGGAATTCCCTCAAACCTTTATTTTGAACAAAACAATAGTTTCCCAAACATTCTTGCATTTCAAGAAGGCAATTCACTACTCTGTCTCGCCTCTCTAAACCCTGCCACTTAACTTGGTATGTCTTTTCTTTCTGCTGCACCTCATCCTCATCCATGCATATGTGCATATTACTCAAGTTATTTATGCTCTGTTTTGTTTTCAACGCCCCATCTTGTAAAAGCAAGGCTGCCAGGCATAAAGCAGTCAAAAGTCCTATTCCCTCCAACCCGTCCCACCTTGGCTGGAGAATTTATGGCCGAGTCATCGCCCCTGAGACAGAAGTTGAGAGGAGCCTGCCTGGGCCCTTCGCTGAAACTCGGCACCCTCCCGTTTGACGCACCACCTCATTTTGTCTCATTTTGGACGTGTTCGACACCGCGGGGTGATGCCCATGACAGCGCTGTTTGACATCCATTCCTCAGCACCTGCCCAGTCACCTGGAGCTATTCGGCTCTGCTTTTCATCTCTCCCCTCCTCCCAGTAACCCCTCACCCTGCCTACACTTCAAAATTTGTTAGCCAAATCAAAGGTGGAGTGCATTGTTAGGGTTCGAACATTACACCAGTGTCATGTAAGCTCCTTGAACAGAACAGCTGCAGGTAATTCTCACAGAGGGGAGAGAGAGAAAGAGAGAGAGAGAGAGAGAGTCCCAGGCTCTTTGTCGCTGTTGTCTGATGGTTCCTGCTGGAGCCAGGAGTGAGTGTAAAGTCCTCTTTGCCATTAACACTTCAGCCCTGTGGCCTGTGTGCTTGGCAGCCGCCTGCTCTGTAAATGAAACCAGAAGATGCTAGCGGTTTGGACAGCACCACTGTGGGACCACATGCTAGTTGGGCTACTAAAAGTGCAGTAGCTCTGACAAGTATTGTGTCATGAGCCAAAAGAGCTTTGTCATACGCCTACACCAATATCTCCGAAATAAAGCTTTACGTTACAAAAGAGGACCAGGAGCCATGAGGTCAGCTGCATGTAGCTGAATTTCTAATGAGATAGACCTCTAAATTTCACTTGCTGATGCCAAAAGCGATCTGGGATAATTTAGCAAAGAATAAAAACCCTGCGGCACCTAAACATATTGTCTCCTGACAAATCCGTGGTGGAGGGGGTGAATAGTGTGTACAAAAGAAAAAATGATATGCTTAAGTGTTTTGCAGCAAACCAAAAGATTAATTTAATAACAGCTGATACCACATGGAAGACCACAAATTTGTCATATTTTGTGTGCAACTTTGTCAGTGGCAATGATTTAGCATGTCAAGTCATACATAGAAAAAAAAAGAGCCAAAGCATTTCAGATTCAATTCACGGCTTGTTTTGGTGGACCGGCGGCCTGAATGTTGAACACTGGCACACAATAGCAAACAAAACAAGATGACGCTGATCTCATAAGTCATGATCGTTGGACTTCCTAAGATGCTCTTAAAAAATTATTTGGCTGTATTCAAGAAAGAAATTGATAATGCTTTAGAAAAATAGTTTTTAATGGGTAACATCAGTGTTGTCATCGTCTCAGAGCGATATCCACAATTTCTTAAATAATGAACTGACTTACTCTTTTTTTGTTTAAATGCCTTACAAGTCCTCACAGTGCTGTCAACAGTTCACACAAACCCCTCGATCCTGTATTCCCCCTTTAATTCAATAAAGAACTCCATGTTCTTCACCATTGAATGTTTTTTTTTTAACTTAAATTTTACCCTTTTTGCATCACAACATACTCCAATATGATAAATGGACCTGAGTGTGGAGGGGAAAAGAACGGCGAGCCTTTTCCGTTACACTAGTATTTGAGGTTAAGATTCTTTGGACTGGGCCGGAGAACAATTTTTCCACGCAGTCAACTGAAAGTGCACATTCTGCCCTCTCAAAAAATCATCATTTGACCGAAAAAAAGACTCTTTCTCTGTTTTTGCCTCTATAGGGTTCTGATGCTGAAACTGCTGAATTTTGTACTCACCACCAGATGGGATAGCCTCCAAGCACCCGTGAGCTGGACAACCACACACACATCAAATATCCAATCAGATACAAATCCATGAGGTAAGTCTTGTAAGTGTGTGAGAGGGTAAATGGATCAATACATGTAGAACTCCCAGCAGGCGATGAAAAAAGAGTTTTCCAGGAAGAGGAGCTTAAGAGCCGCTTGATTAGGAAGATTAAAATTGATATTGAAAAAAAAATCTTCCTGCTGTTTTCCCCCCTTCTTAGAGTCGGGCCAGGAAAGTGTGTCTGTCTCCTAGTAGTTAAGAGAATAAGTGTCTCTTACACACATGCACACACGCTCCTACCCGTCCTCTTCTTCCCTCCCTCTCTCTGAGGTTCTTCCCTAAGGTAGATATCTTTTGCCTCTCTCTCTCTACTTTTTTCTCCCTCAGGATGCCTCATCCACAGGCCCAATATTAAAGGGGGGGGGGGAGTGAGGAGAGCAGAGGAGGGAGGGAGGGGGGGTGAGGTTTGGAGATGTCAGCTGGCAAGCCAATCACAGGAGATGGCCTTAGGTTACGAAAAAAAAATTATTATTCGTTCCCATCTGTCAATCACACGCCACCCCCTGGTAATGTGGAAAAGAAAGGAAAGAGTGAAAAGAGGGAGGGAGGGAAATGAGAGAGGGAGGGACACACGGAGAAGGTAGAGTAGAGTTGTTACTCAACTTGTTTCATCCGCGATCATTGAAAAATTCCCCAAAGTGGCTGCAGGTAGTTGAAAGGATGAAGGGCCGACTCCTCTGCAGAAGCCTTACGGGTTCACACACGCTGTTGACACATTGATTTTTTAGGGGTTGTGCCCTGACTAATTGATCCGGATATACGCGCATACACCGCACTCACACATACGTCAACACGCGCAAAAATCTCCGTCCAACTCACGGGGACATTTACAGTGAATTTTCTAAATTGTTGTCCGCCCACCCCAACAGGGGAGGACATAAAAGGGGACACAATAAAGCCATAAACTGCAGTGGTGGCTTGGCCAGGCATGCAGGGGTTATATGCTTCAGCGGCCCAAAGGCGACACATTTTACATCAATACTATTGTCATTCTGATGGGGCTGTGGGGCGAGCAGCAGTGGGACAGGGGGCGGGAGGAGGGGAGGACAGAGAGAGATAGAGAGTGAAGGAGGAGGGTGGGACACTTGCGATGGACTTAGCCTGAAGTAACCATGCATTTGATTCACACACAAGGAAACTGATCAGGGCGAATACAAACAGGACACCAGGCGGAGATCAAACAGAGTTGGTTGTAATGATGGCAATCTCTTTTTAGAAGTTTTGTCTCAAAGGATTATCAGTCGCTAATCGTGGTAAAGATTACAGCCTAGCACGTAAGCGCTGCTCAAGGTATTTTGGAGGATAAATAAATGAAAACTTGGCATCACAGAAAATAGCTTTTTATTGAATGTCAGGACCCGGTTTGCCGTTAGATTTCTGCCACACTCCCCTAAATGACTGATGCTGTCAGTGGAAACATGTAATATAAGTCAGTTTTGTTTTTGGTAGAATTTCAGGAGATTTCACTCTTTTGTGACCTTAAAAAAATTAGTTTAAAAATATATTTTAAGGTGAACTGTTGGAGTAGGTTTGAAGATTTTTTCCTGAAAAACTAATTTTAAATGTGAGTCAATACTTATTAAAAGTACAAGTACGAGTCATTAGACCAGATGGGTAACATGATAGATTTCACAACAGATTTAGTGTTTGCAGCCATATGGAAGCCAGCTTTTCTGAGGACTGTTTCCAAGAAAGAAAAGGTCGTAATAGGTTCAGTGACACAGTAAGACATGTTTTATTGATTCCATTTTGATTTAATATTGTAGCAACAAAAAATTGAATGAAACAATCTCAGTTGCCTTTTGAGATGCGTTTTAACATATACTAGAGCTGGGCAAACAAGAGAGCAAACAATGTCATGTTTTCTATTTTGATTATTAGTAATATTTAGCACTCAATCATTTCAGTACCCTGTAAAGACAGAAGGCTTAAGAAAACAAAGGGTTCACTTGTCAAACTTTTAATAATAGTTATTATTATTCATGCATCATAGATGTCGTACCAGTCATCTTTTGCAGTCACAAGCTGAGCTTCTGCTAACGGTGTCCCCTAAGTTTTTATCGAGGTCTACAATGTGATTATCCAATGGGGTATCTACCAGGAGCCCACAGAGGTCTCCTCTTCTCTAAAACAGACTTAAAGATGTAGTACAATTTTAAAATCTGTGTTTCTCCAACACTCTTTGTAGGTTGCAAGTCGAACTGAAATATAAGTGAAAATCAACAAAAATGAAACAAGTGATGGGGATGTGACTTCGAACAGTAGGGAAGTAGTCAGTTAGAAAATTACAACGTCCTTATGAGTCAAAAACTGCAGACTGAGTGGATGCTGTAATGTTTGTCATGTTTCCTCTTTGCTTTTAAATCATTGAATCAAGGAAGAAATGTCCAAAGTTATTCAATGTTATTAATATATGTTGCATTACTTCTCTGTATCGGGATCAATTTAACATCAAGCACGACAATAAAATAACCGATAATAATAATAAAATAAGCATTTTTTTCTTAACATAGTTTAGAGTTTTATTGCAAAAATTACAGGTGACTATTATTTAACATTTCTCTGTAATACAAAGATTTTCATTGTCATGTCCCTTTTACAAATATTCAGTCAATGTTATATGACTTTCATTGTTGTAGTAGTGTTTATACAAGCAAAGTATCCCAGTTGTCGTTCCCTCTGATGTGAGGGGCTTGGGGCCGTGCTCTTTCTGCTGAAGACCTCCAGGGCATAAGGGAGCCTGTAGGACTGAAGGGGCTGGAAGGTCGCTCAGCAGGGGCTGGGAGCGTGCACTCTGCAGAGGAGAGGCTGAGTGCCTACTGTGGGGAGAGAGCTCAGTGACCACAGTCTGGAGGTCAGTAGTGGAGTGCCCCCTTCACCCACCCCTTCTGTTTTATTCCTCCATAACAAAGAAGATGGGGAAACAGGCAGTGACTGAGCAGCACTCGACCTACCGCCCTGTTTGAGAGGAGAGAAAGAGGGGGGTTCTCGAAGTCTCTAAATGTGACAATAATTGATAGATGTCTTTGTGAAATTTCTATGAGGCTTGCTCTCCAGCAAGTCGTGGTGGGGAGTCTTCTCCATTCCACCAATAAAGATGACTTTTCAATGCCTCCACTCAAGCTGCGGTATGTCACAGCGGTGCTGACAATGAGGCAGGTCTGTTTTCAATCACCAACATTGTTGCGTGTTACGGCATCGTCAGAAATGTGCCTAGCTCAGCTCAGGGATTTGGATGACAGTTGCTCTGTAGGAGCGATAGACAGTGCGTTAGGGCCAGCGATGGATGGGGGGAATGTGACAGGGTTTGAATTTATGAGTGCAGGCGGAGGAATCAGTCTGCGGTTTGCATATGAACAACATTGAAACCACGTTTCCCAGGTTAAGGCCACAAGTGCAAATCGAACTGTCTGGGAAAGGTAGCAGCTACTAAGGTCAAGAACATTGCCGCCTGATCTTGAAATGAACTGTGACTCAACGGCACTTGTGCTGCTGTTTTTGAGTGGTGGTGTTTTGTTCGAACCGCTGCAATGGAAGGCCTGGGTCTGCATGTCTGCATCAGTAGGTGCACAAGAGGGGGAGGCACACACAGAGGTCCCCTACTGGGCCCGTTTCTACGGTGACCTGAGAAAGGCCGTAACCAGGTCCGGCTCATTCTCAGGCCTAATCAGCGTATTACCACAAAGGGGGACATGTGTTGCCCCCCCCCACCTCCCTACCCTCGCTACTCAATCCGACCAGCATGGCTGGACACAGGCAGCCAATAAAACCAGGATTAGGAGGGTATCTACACACACTGGGCTGTAGCGAAAAAGTTTCTGAACACGCCCAATCCCGCCCTGCTCCCTTCACAAACTTCTTTTCAGCATTCACCATCTCTCATTCCTTCCATCTTTCAATTTATCTCACTTGCTCCCGTGTTTATATCCTTCCTTTTGCGCGTCCTTTCAGAGCCCTCACCCTGTAAGCCCTTCACACAATGGGACATCCAGAAATTACTCATTTTGCTGGAGCAGCTCAGCAAATTCGCAATGCCACTCCCAATGCCACCCTAAGAAACTCAGCAAAGTTATACATGCTTAAATGTGGTTGGAGTGTTTGAATTTTTTATAAAATTGAATATTACATTTTGGGTGACTATCATTTCCAAAAAGTAAACTTGTTTAGTCAGATACATAATAAGCAAAAACTGATGAGGCTTTTTTTCCTCTTGCTTCCATCTAATTAATACCAGATAAAAGATGACAAAGTCCTGGTGAGCATGTGTTCTGTCTCTGCAGGAAGTGATTTGTGTTTACTGTCATGGTTTGTCTGGGGAATTTTGGAAGTCATATGCATCCTGATGACTTAGGCTCTGCGGCTGCATCCAACTCCCAAGTCCCTGCTAATGTGTCCTGGAAATGGGTAGGTGTTAAAGATAATATCAGCGCCTTTTGTCAGGCCTTTTTAAGACTGTGAACAAAGACGACAAGAACTCTTCCCCCAAATAAACCTTTTTCATTAGAGCAGCAAACACTTCATCCATTGGGCTGTGTGTGAGCCGCTCAGCAAGGTCCCACAGGGAAGCGCCTAAACCCTCAGCAGTCTTCAGCCGGACACTGAGGCGGCCTAATTAAAGGGCACTTAAGCCCCACAATGTGCAGCAGCGCAGGTTGGAGTTGGTGGGGGTCCCCGCCGAGAGGGACAGAATTCATGGCACTCGTAAACAAGGGAGTCTAGGACAGAGGGACAGAAGAGGGCTCAGTGCCAGAGACTTTGTTCACACAAGATGAAGAGTCAACAGCCTCCCCATCCCTCACCCCTCCTTAGCCATCCCCCCTAATAACCACCTTCTTCAGAGGAGCTGCAAACACAATGCCATCCCACTCCCCTCCTCTTGCTCTCAATCACTGTTGGGACAATGAGGGGAACCCTCCCACCCCACCACCACCATCCTTCTGCCCCTCCCCGACCCCCAAACAGACACTTCTTTTATTGAAATTCTTTGGTGTTCTAATCCTCAGCTTCCTCCAGGGGCAATAATGGACTCCCTGCGTCAGCCTTTTCCAGCGAGGATACCATCCAAGCCTGCCTCGGTCACAAGTCCACCTCTGCTATTTGGAAGGAGCAGCAGTGTCATTCCTGTCACATCCAGCCCATCTACGGGTCGTACAAGCCCCAGTGCCATTGACCTTTAAAACACTGAACCATGTGACCATGCAAGTTTTTTTTTATGCAGAAGTTATCAGATGAGTCAACTTTTAGACAAATGGGGAACTATTTTCTTGTGGCTTCTTTAAAGATGATCGTCAA